CCCTAAACTGGTCCAATTTCTTGCACTTTCCCCCAAACTGTTCTAGTTGCCCATCATGCCCCAATGAACTTGTCCAGTTCCCCATCACCACCCCAAACTGGTCGAGTTCCCCTTCATATCCCTAAACTGGTCTAGTTCCCCATCCACCCTCCAACCAAAAAACCCAAACAGCCCAGCCCCTTCCTGTCCCCACCGCCCTATACCTCCCCATCATCCCGCTCCATGCCATCCGAGTCCACCCATCACCCCTTCCCAACCCATGCCAGTCCCTGCTGGACTCAGAGCTGGACTCAGCAAAAGCACTGTCACCGCTTTATTCTCCTACCGCCCGCTGCACAGCCTCGGCCACTGCCGCCACGTACGGCTCTGGACACCGGCCCCTCCGCCGAGCTGGGCCCGCCAGTGCCTGCAAGAACCCCTCCATCTCGCTGGGCAGCGCGAAGGCAGGGGCTGCCCGCAGGGCTGGGGGCACTGCTGGCACCAAGGCCTCCAGCCGGGCCACCACGTAGCGCCCATCGGCCACTGCCAGCACTGGCATGGCACAGGACAGAGCCGCCGCAAACACCTCGCAGGGTGCCACAGCGGGGACATCGTCAGGGTCAGGGCTGTGCCGGGGCCCAAGGCTGCTTTCAGCAGCCCCGGACTCTGGCACAACCCTGGCCCTGGCGTCCCACTGCTGTGCAGCAGCCACGGCTGCCGGAGAGAGGAGGAGGATGATGGTGTCACTGTCACGCAGTGCCCGGTGGTGCTGGGCGTGCAGCCAGGGCAGTGGCCCCAAAGCTGCTACCCCGCTGCCACCGCCCGGTGCTGCCACCACCGTCAGCCCCAGTGAGTGCAGAGCTGCCATCAAGGCACACGCTGCCCGCTCCGCCACCGGCTCTGCTGCGTGCACCAGCAGGGCCCGCTGGCCCTGCAGAGGACCTGAGGGGGAGATCGTCAGTGCCTGGATCCCTCTAGGCACCCTGTACCCACGCTGTGGTGGGAGCCAGGCTGGGAAGCACCCATGATGGGGCAGACCGTCCCCTGCCTCTGTCGCCCAAGCCCTGCAGCACTCCCTGTACCCCAGCTAAAGAACAGCCACGATGGGAAGCAGCTGAGACCACCACTGACATGAGTCTCTCAGTCCCCTTGCCAAACCCTTTCCCTACCCTAAGGGACAGACATGGTGGGAGGCAGGTTGCAATCTGTCCCCCCCCACCCCCCACAGGGTTCTCACCCTCTTCTCTGTTTCCCTACACCCCTACCTACCCTGTCAGGCAGGAAAACATGAACTAATCTGGGTGAGGGACCCCCTCATTCTGTCCTCTGACCCTCTGGGAGCATAGACTGCCCACTCCCCCCAAGGCCCCAGGCTCAACCCACACTCACCGTTGGAGCCATAGCCAGCCCTCAGGGATTTCAGCCATCCTGCAGGGAGGAAAGGCAGTGAGGTCCCAGGAGGGGTCCCAGGCCAGGCAGAGCCCCCAGAAGTGCACCACTCACCTTTCATGTCCTCCTTCTTCATCAAGAGCAGCAGCAGGAGACAGGCAGCTCCCAGCAGCACCCCCATCCACACCAGTGCCCAGTGGGTACGCAGGTCTGTGGGGCAGGATCTGCATCCATCAAAGGCCCCCGGCACCCAACAAAGGTCTCCAGTGGCTCCACAGGGGCGTTCCCTCCCTCAGCCCTCCCTCCTCTCCCCCACCGTGGCTGTCAACACTCACACTTGTGCAGGGGACAGGCCCAGAGCACAACCCCAGTCCTGTTCGATGGGTGCCACAGCTGTGGGGGACACAGGGACATGTCAGACATTGCTCAGCCCCTTCCCACTGCCCACTGGCTGCTCACACTGACCTGCTGGCACTGCCCCACTGCCACATCCCGCTGCAGATCCTGCTCCAGCAGGCCAGGCTGCCCTGCTCCCTGCAAGAGCACAGCAGGTCAGACAGCAGCGCCACCACTGCTGGACACAGGGGTCCCTGTGCCACCAGTGCCACTGCTGCCAGGACATGGGGTCCCTTCCTCTTTACCCTGCTGGTGAAGCTGGCAAGGGGTGTGCAGGCACCCCGCTCCACGGCACACAGTGAGGCATTCCCCCAGTGCTGGAGCAGCAGGAGGTCATCGGCGCGGCCAGGCAGCGCTCCTGGGAATGTGCCAGCTGGGGAGGTGGCAAGGGGAGGCCAAGGAGGGCTCCCCCACGCTGGACCCACAGGCTGCCACTACCCTCCCACCCCAGCAGTACTCACGGTCCCGCAGGCACTGGGTCAGCCGGACCTGCCCACCGCTCCACACCTGCCCCAGAGAGTGGACTGATAGTGCCTGGGGGTGATGTGGGGCTGCCCATGGGGCAGCTGTGGGGCAGAGCAGTGTCCTACCTGCACGCAGAGGTTGGGGTGTGGCCGCAGCCCTCCAAACTCCTGAGGTCCCTGTGAGTGCAAGGGATGCTCCGTAACTGTCACCACCATCTTCCCAAAGCCCCCAGCGCCCCACAGAGCCCCACTCACCTTCCCCCCGGCAGGCTGCTGCAGGCCAGGGATGGGTTGGCAGGGCCCGGAGGGCACTGGCTGCCAGCAGGGCACCAGCTCAGCCAGGAGGTCGCAGGGGGCTGAGAGGGAGCAGGTCAGCACCTGCCCCTCGATGTGCAGGACCAGCCGGCTCTGCGCCCACAGTCTGTCCCAGGCCTCAGCATCTGCAGTGGCACCAGGAGAGGACTGTCACTCCGTGTGGTGTCTCCTCAAGTCCCCCTGTGTCCCAGCCCCCTAAAGCCCAGCCTCAGAGTGAAGGTACCATGAAAGAAGGGGCACAGGGTGGCCCGCAGTGGGTCCTGGGTTTCCAGCCAGACCTGGGAGTGGGGAGAAAGACAAGAAAAGCATTTATGCTGTGACCATGGCCTGGCCGGCCCCCTTGGGATGCCAGAGGGAGATACATGGAGCTTGGAGCCCCTCTTTAGTGGCCACTTATCCTGCCACCCCCACAGTGCCCGGTCGATGCCCACCTGCAGGCAGAGACAGGGCAGCACCTCATCGGCAGGCAGGACATGGTTCACTGGACTGCTCTGCTACCAGCAACCAGATGTGGGTCACCCCATGGAAATTGCCACCAGCAGGGTCACCCAGGGGGACCCTCTCCCAGCACACTGCCTGTAACACAGACATGGCTTCTCGGGAAGGGGGAGAAGGGCAGCGACCGGAGAACAGACAGGGTGGAAGGCCAGGGAACAGGGTGCATACTCACCATGGTCACCACACGCCCCGGCCCACTGGTGCCATGGCTATGGTTGTGGTAGAGCCGGAGGGTGTAGCTGTGCCCTACTGCAGCCCCCTTCACCTCCACAACCACCTCCTTCTGCCCCGGGGAGACCTGCAGCCTGGGCACTGTATGACAGGCAGCTCAGGTCACCCAGCTCCTGGCACTGTCCACCCAGCACCATGGCAAGGGGCACAGACCCCCAGGGTCACTCTCGCCCCTGGTGTCCACTGCCCGGCTCTCCCCAGGGGATGAAAACCGAGGTGGGTGATGCCAGCACCTACCTTGGCACTGAGGGACAGCAGCCTGTGCTGCGGGCCACGAACAGTCTGTGGGGACAGCGAATCAGTGGGCAGCGGGGCTGGGGCCACTGCAGGGGACCTGCCGGGGCTTACCTGGCACCCGCTGCTGCTGGCTCAGCCTCTGCCGGCCCCGTGAGTTCATGTAGGCTGAGATGTGGAGTTCGGAGCCCAGCGGCGCCTCAAAGCACCGGAAGATCACCCAACCCTGGGCAGGAAAACCACCACCCCACTGCGGTGAGGCACCGGCACCGGCAGCACCAACCTCCCCAGGGCACGGGAACGGGACCCCCACGCCACAGATGCGCTGATGCCAGCACCCACATTCCCAGTGCCCAGGGACTGACAGTGATCCCTGGTGCCCCACAGCTACGTACCACGCTTCGGCCGCGCAGTGTGGGACGCAAGGGTGCCCAGACCTCCACGGCCACGCAGCGGGATGAGGCATACGCATGCCCAGAGAGCAGCAGCAGCCCAGTGATGTTGGGCTGGGATGAGGTGGCCCCAGTCGCTGGTGACCACTGTCCCCCATCACCGCTATCCTCTGTCCCAGAGGTGCTCGGCTGCACGGAGAGGCGGGACTCGGTGCCGGTGCTGGTGGCAGGTGGCAAGGCCAGGCGCACTCGTGCCTCCACACAGGGCACACAGGCCGTGGGCTCGGTGCAGCGCAGCGCCGGCTCCAGCCGCAGACGAGCCAGGGCCAGCTCGTGCCGGGGCCCCGGGGCCTCTGTCCCGCACAGCACATCGGTGTCTGGGGGCACAGAGAGGGCAGCATGGAGGTGGAGTCCCCATGCCCTGGGCGGGGTGGGGGCCATGGCATGGTGAGGGCACTTACCCAAGAGGCGGCAGGTGAGGCCCTGGGGGAGGCAGGGGTGAGGCCGGCGGCGGTGCCAGGTGCCCGCCGCCTGCGCGCCGGTGACACCAACCCACCTGGGAGCAGGCCAGGGTGTCGCGGGGGTCCCCACGGCCACCCGCCGACCCCACCACCAGCACCAGCAGGAGCTGCCCCAGTGCGTGCATGCTGGGGCCGGGGCCTCGGGGTGCCCCGGCCCCACGCTGGCTGCTCGCCAGCAGCCGCTCTCCCGGCTCCACGGGCCCCACCGCCGCCGACGGCTCCCGCTTCCTGCTCCGATCCCGGACACCCGGCTCCTTGCGTGGCGTCAGCGGCCGCCCCGGGGTGGGGCCTCCCGTTCCCGCACCGACCTCGGAGGGCTCCGTGTCCCGCCACCCTGGGGAGGGCTTGGGGCCCCACACAGCCGACTTGGCTCCATGGCACGGGCACGGCGCCAGGCTGGCCCCCGGCAGCCGCAGCGGCGGTGGGACATGGTGTGGCGGCCGTGCCGGTACGGGCTGTGCCCAGCCGGGTGCGTCCTCTCACCGCTCCGTGCTGCAGAGGAGCACTGGGCAGCCCCCAGTCCTCCAGGAGAGCAACAAATCTCCCCCGGTACACCAGAGACACAACAGGGCAGGGTGAAATAACACCTTTATTGCTTCCACCCCAGACCAAGTCCTGCTAGCAATGTCGAGGCAAAGAGCCGGGCCAGGCTGTGCCCAGCACCCGCCCCTCTAGCCACCTGTGCGTGGGCAGGGCAGGGAGCCTCCCCATCTCTCAGCTTCTTCCTGCGCCTCCCCAACTCCTCGCTTGGCTGTGGCATCCGAAGGGGCTTCTGTGGGCTCTCCTCTGGAGCAGGTCCCTGTATGGGAATAAAGCTGCCCCTGCTCGGGACAGCATCTCCGCTCCTGGCCACAGATGACAGCTGGAAGCTCGCTCCGGCCCCAGCAGCACACTCCATGACTGAGGCCAGTCCTGCTTGGACTCCCGCAGCCCTTCCTGGGGCACCCATGGGTGCCCCTCCTGCCGCTGCAGTGGGCACATGCTCACCTGAGCCCTGCCTTTTCCTGGCAGAACCCCTGCCCTCACCGGGGGGCTGCGCCCAGCCCTGAACCCCCTGCAGCCATGCCCAGCTCAGGCCCAGCCTGGGCACTCAGGTGCCAGAAGCTGCCCCGGGGGGCTGGGGCGGGGGACTGCCCTCCCTAGCCCCCACCTCCAGCAGCCGATGCAGGAGGCCCCCTGCCCTGCCCCAGCGGCAGCGGCGAGGGGCCGGGGGGCTGCCCCGCAGGGCCCCCAGCAGGCCGGGCAGCTGTCGGGGCAGGCGGTAGGTGGGCAGGGGCCGAAGGGGTCGGGGGACATCGCAGGGGCTGCAGAGCCGGCTGAAGTATGCCAGGACCCACCCGCCGCCGCGGCCCGCCGCCCCCAGCTCCCCGTGCAGGCAGGCCATGGCTGCCCCAAAAATGTCATGGGCATCCCCGGGCGTCCCGTCGGCCATCCCGACCTGCCACCGATGGAAGAGCCGAGCACTGCCGCGGCTCCAGAGGAGGAGGACCGTGCCACGCTGGCGGCCCACATGGCCCCGCTGGGCGTAGAGCCAGGGCAGGGCACCCGCCTGGCCCAAGCCACCCGCTTCCCACAGGTCCAGGCGCACGTCGCAGCCCAGCCCCGAGCGCAGCCGCTCAGCCAGGGCACACACCAGCCCCAGGTGCTCCTCTGAGTCTGGCGAGTACAGCAGCAGCACGGGGCGCCTGCCAGGGACACCTGCAGGGTGGAGGGGACAGCAGTGACAACTCAGCTCCATGTCCTACTGGCATCCCCTGGGATCCAACAGCATCTGCCATCCACCATCCTGGGACCCCCTGCAGCCCAGGAACTGGCACCCCCTGTCACTCCAGCCCCTCTTGCTGTCCCTCCTGCAGCCCCCTTGGGTGCTCCTCACCATCATTTGGCCTCCAGGCACCACGGCAGTTGAGGAGCAGCACAATCACCACCAGTCCCAGTGCCAGCACCAGCCCCAGCAGCCCGAAGTGCCTGTGGGAGACTGGGAGAGGGGCAGTAAAGGGGCTGTCTGCCCATTTCCACTGCCCCCTGAGTCCCCTCCAGGACCCTCTCTCACCATCGGGACAGAGCAGCTGCTTCCGAGCAAAATGCACGTCCGAGCGCCACACCTGGGGAAGGGGCTGGGTAAGAGGGGGACCATGCTGGGTCCCCCATAGCACAGATGATGCACAAGGGTCACCTTACCAGCACGCAGCTGCCCAGGACCTGCACTGGCAGCAGCAGCGCCAACTCGCCCGGAGCAGAGCCCTCTGGCTGCAAAGTACGAGGGCAGGGTCAGTGAGGGTCTGTCCCCACCACGTCCCCCCAGCCCTGCACCACTCACCTGTGTGACAGTGTAGAGCGGGGCCTCGGGTTCACACTGCCCACCCCGGCGCTGGCACAGGGCTGCACTGAAGGCCGCAGGGATGCGGGAGGTGAGGTGCAGGTGCAGCTGGAGCCCCCAGACACTCACTGAGACATTCCAGGCAGTCTCTGCGGCCACCAGAGAGAGAGGGAAGGTTGCAGGATGCCCAACAGGGTGAGGGCTGCAAGGGAACCCAGGGCAGGGCTGTGCTTAGCCTAGGACTGCCACCCCCCACAGGACTCACCTGGATGGTGGGGACACTCCACATGACTGCTGTTCTTGTAGGAGAACTGAGGGGAGGTGGGATCAATAAAGGGCAGGGTGAGCTGCCCACACCCACCACAGCCCCCCAGCCCATTCCGAGATGGTGCCCACCCACCCACAGGGGCTTACTCGGAAGCAGAGCTGGGGGTGCACATCCACCTTGTCCAGTACATACATCTGGAACAAATGGAGAGTGTGTCACAGTTACCATCTCTGACCCACCCACTGCCCTGTAGGGACCCTGGGATCCAGTGGATGCCCCAGTGAGTGACATGGTCCCACATCCTGTGACACCTCAAGACCAGGAGCCCTCACCTGCTCATCCTCACTGGCTGTGGAATTGGGGATGTCGTGACAGGGTGCAGCCTCATCTGCTGCCTCCCTCCAGCAGAGGGTGGCCCGTGGGTGCAGGGGGCAGCTGCCACTCAGCACCATCACCATCTGGTCCTTGCTGCTGGTGCTGTAGTCATGGAAGCGCACCGAGGACCACAGCTCAGAGCCATCTGTGGGGCACCACATCCGTGGGGTGGGGAGACAGCAAGGGACACCCCTGGGACTCAGCTCCCCTCCCCACAGGCACCAGGCACTCACAGGCATCTGGCCGGTCATGGAAGGGGCAGTGTTTGCTCCGTGGGCTGTCGTGGTGGGAGTAGGAGGCCTGGGGAAGCAGAGCATGATGGTCAGAGCAGGATATGTCCCACCCAATGCGAGGGCAAAGGGGCTGTGATGGCTGTAGGGGAGGGCAACCCACCTCAATGCACAGGCAGGGCACCAGGAACTCATAGGGCAGTGAGATGTGGTGGCCTCCTGGCACCAGCACCTGCAACATGGAGGGAGCATCAGCTGGCAGGGATTGTGTCCCCCAGTCTGTGACACGAGTGTCGTGGGGCAGAGCTGTTACCTGCTGGTGGAAGGGCCGGGGCAGCTCCTCACACTCCAGAGCCAGCTGGTGGCACAGCCGCACCAGGAGGGCAGGACCCGCGGGCACCCACACCTCAATGGCCCGCACCTCAGGGACCCAAGCATGGGTAAAGACAGGCCCTGCAGAGCAGGCAGGGGTCAGCTCGTACCGGCGTCCCCCCCAGGAAACCTCCCAAGCCCTTCAGTCTCACCGGGTGGCTCAGCGGTGACCATATGGCTGCAGCTTAGGGCCAAGCCCCGATCTGGGATGGTGCGAAGGGAGACGAGGACTCGCCGCCCGCTCTCTGCCGGGAAGCAGTCGAACTGCACCTGCCACTGTGGGGAGCAGGGGCTCAGTGGGGGGACTCCGGGCCCCGGTGTGCCCGCTCCTCCCCACCGCAGACTCACCGCTGAGCTGCCCAACACCCGGCGTCGCTGCCAAACGTGCAGCCAGCCAGCCCGGTTGGAGCCCAGCTCCAGGAAGGAGAGCTGCAGTCCCCGGACACCGTCGAGCTCTGCGAGAAACCGGCGTGGGGTGCTGACACGGGTGGGGGGACTGAGTGCGTGTCCCCAGCCACGGGGATGCCCGGCCTCGCCACCCCCGCCCGTACCTGAGGCGGGCAGGGCCAGGCGCACCCGCAGGCAGGGCTGGCAGGGCTGCGCGGGCAGGCACAGCCGGGCACGGCTCAGCGACAGGGCGGGCGGCTCCAGCGGCGGCCCGGGGCGGGAAGCGCGGCGGCAGCGGGGGCGGCTCAGCGTCCTGTCGGCTGCAGGGGGAGAGCAGACGGGGCGACCGTGCGCCGGGGGTCCCGCAGGCAGCAGGAGCCCCGGGGACTGGGAGTGCTTGGAAGGGGGAGAGCCCCGGGGAGTCCCGGGGAGGTGTAGTCGGAAGGGAGGTGCCCCGGGCATCCAGAGTCCTGACAAACCGGGAGCCTCGGTGATTCGGAGTCCTCGGAAGCGGGAATCCTTGGGGTTCGGGAGTGCTCGGAAACAGGGAGACCCGGGGATCAGGAGTCTTTGGAAGCGGGGAGCCCCAGGAGCCAGGAAGTTTTGGGGATCGGGAGTCCTCGGAAGCGGGGAGCCCGGTGCCCGGAAACCTGGAGCGCCCCGCCCCCCCATTCTCCGGGACCCAGTAGCCGCGGGCAGGGGATGCCCCACCATCCCGCCGCACCCTGCAGCCGGTATGGCCGGGCAGGAGCAGCCCCGCGCTGACAGCCCTGCCCCGCGCTACTCACCGGTGGCCCGGCACTCCTGCAAGCAAAGAGACGGGGGTGAGCGCGGCGCCGCCCCCCCACACCTTCCCCCGCCACTTCCCTTCCCCGGCGCTCACGAAGTTGGCGGAGACCCGGAGGCGAGTCACGGCGGCCCCGGTCCCGGACGGTAGCAGCAGTAGCAGCAGCAGCAGCGCGGCGGCAGCGGCGAGCAGCACCGGGCGCTCCATGGCCGAGCGCCGCCGCTCCCCGCCCCGCCCCGGGCCGGCGGGAGCGCCGCCGCCGCCGCCGCGCGCGGGCTGGCGCGGCCGGGAGCGGGAGCGCGCGCCGCGGGGTCAGCGGGGGCAGGGGGTATACATGGGGCATACATGGGGCATACATGGGGCATACATGGGGTATACATCGGGTATACATGGGGTGCGTTATGTGCGGGGCGCGGGTCTGTGCCCATGGGTGTGCTGGCACCTGGAGGGGCACACGCGTGGCGGCTGCTGGGAGCCCGCTGGGGACGCCCACGCGTGGGTGCAGAGGGGTTGTGAGGTTGGGTTTTGGGGGGTGTGGGATTGGGGATGAACCTGTGGGGCTGCAGATGTCTGGGCACAGAGGGGCTGGGGAAGCATGAGGGTGCAGAGACACGTGGAGAGGAGGGCGGACGGTGGTGGGTGAGATTTATGGACACGCAAAGTGGGGTGCAGGATGGGTGCTGAGGGAAGTCCCCCCTGTGTCCCCCTGCCCTCTCCATCCCCTGCAGGTGGAGGCGGCTGCTGGGCCCCAAGGAGACGCTGAGGCTGTTGGAGGGCTCCGTGGTGCACCGGGAAGGTACCTACGACAGGGGAGAATGGGGGCAGGGGACACGGTGAGGGAGGTACATCCTGACCAGCCTTCCCCTCGCTAGGAGCCCTGCTGGCACTGAACAAGCCCCCCGGCCTCCCCGTTCTGGGTGAGTACAGGACAGCAATGGAGGGTCTGCAGGCGTGGGGGTGTCTGCATGGGAGGCTCAGCAGGTGCTGAGCTGCCAGCATCTCCCCAGGGCGTTCTGGGGACCTGAGCCTGGATGCGCTGCTGCCGGCACTGAGACGACGCCTGGGCCTCGCTGCTGAGCTCCACGTGGTGAAGGCTCCTGCCAGGTGTGGTAGGAGGGTTCAGGCTGGAGGTCCTGGCATGGAGCTGGGGCTGCCTTTCCCTCTCCAGGTTTCAAGCAGCCATGTCCCACAGGGAGTATTCTGGCCTTGTCCTCCTGTCCAGCTGCTACCACACCACTAAGAAGCTCCAACAGTTCTTCACCAATGCTCGTGTGAGAGGCCAGTACCCTGCCACGTATCGGTGAGTCCTTGGGACCCTGCCATGCTGGCATGGGGGTCCTGTCCCCTTCTCATCACCTTACCCTGCAGTGCCATCACCGTGGGAGTCCCGGCAGAGGTGGAGGGTGAAATCTCCACGGGGCTGTGCTGGCAGCAGCAGGGGGACAGAGGCATGGTAAGGGGGTGACAGTGGGATGGGGGCACAGGGGATACGCCAGGGAGTGCTGAGGGCTGTGCTCTGCAGGTGGTGCCGGTCCCAGCCCCAGGACGCCGCAGCCTGGCCAGGAAGGATGTGAAGAGCACCCTGACACGCTACCGGGTGCTGAGTGCCCTGGGGGGCTGTGCCCTCCTCCAGCTCCAGCCCAGGACGGGTGAGTGGCCCTCCAGCACCTCTGCCACCCCAGGCATGCTTCCTGACCCCTGCAATCTCACCTTCTCCCTGTTCCTCCCCAGCCTTCCCAGAACAGCTCCAGGTGCACCTGGCACTGCTGCTGTGCCCGGCCCTGGGTGACCATAGGCACTCGTCCCGCGTGGGCAGGGTGCTGGGAGTGCCCTTCTTCCTGACCCTCGAGACTGCCCCGCCCCGCACACAGGTACGTGGCCAGGGTGGATGCTGGGTGGGGCATTCAGCACAGCCCTCAGAGATCCCACTGAGCTGCCCTCTCACATTGCAGGTACTGGACGAGGAGTTGCTGTCCCGGTTGGGCCTTTCTCCACAGCAGCTCCATCACCTCCCACTCCACATCCACCTGCAGGAGCTAGTGCTGCCCGAGGGCCCCCTCTGTGCTCCCCCACCACCCTACTTCCTGCACACTCTGCGGTGTCTAGGGCTGCCTGAGGACTAGGAGCCCTAGTGCTGCAGGGGGACACCTACTCCACCCTTCTGCTCTCTGCCACCCCATTAAAATCTCCCCCTGTTGGGGGATCCAACAGGATCCCACTCTGTTGGGTGGCCCAGCACTCAGTTCTTTCCTTGACATACAGATGGTGCATTTCTCCTGGCTGTTCCTCTGGGGGCACCAGCCCTGCCACCACTCTCTGCCTGCCCTGGTTCCAAGTGCTAGAATTCAGCAGTGTCATCACCCACTGCAGCTCTGTCTGGCAGGGGCAACCATAGGCAGGAGCAAAGGCAGCTTTTCCTGCCTGCTCTCTGCCCTGGCAGCCTCAGTTCCCACCCGCAGCCCCATCCCAGGGGCAGTCCTAGCCCTCCCCACAACTCTCACACACAGAAGGGACAGACTCCTTATCACAGAATTATATTAAAGCGCGGGAGGAGCTGAGTACCACGGCACAGCAGTGAGAGCTCTTTGGGATCAGAGGCAGCCAGCGTTGGCTCAGCAAGGACAGGCAGGGAGCTGTCCACTCCTGGGCGTGTCTCAGTGTCCCAAGTCTTCTGCCTCCCATTGGGAGCTGCTGTGTCCTTGTGCTCCAGGCGCGAGGTTCTGGTGCTCTGTGCAGACAGAGGCTGTTGCAGGGTCTTGGCAGGAGGGAAGGAGCGTGCACAACCCGGGGCTAGCCAGGGGTTTCTGGGGGTTCCCCGGGGTGGTGGCATCGGCACCCAATCCAGGGGACAGCCAGTGATCTGGGGCAGGTGACTGAGCCGTGGCAGCCCCTGCCTCCCAGCAGAGGAGCCCCGAGGCTTTGGTGGTGCTGGGGGGTCAGAGCGGGTGGAAGGGCAGTGGCTCTGTTGCTCCAGAGGAGGCAGCTTCTTTGCTGCTGCTCTGGGCTGGGTCCCCTGGGTGGTTCTGCCCCTGGGGGACACAGAGGACTTGAAGGCACTGGGCACCATGGCAGGAGATCGATGCCGTGATCTCCGGGGCACCTGGGTGGTTCTGCCCCTGGGGGACACAGAGGACTTGAAGGCACTGGGCACCATGGTAGGGAATTGATCCCATGCTCGTTTGGCTACATGGGTGGCTCTGGGCTCTGGAGACACGGGGTCATGGAGACTATTGGCCACAGGGATGGGGGGCTTGTCCTGGGCTTCCTCTTGTGCTGACTGGAGGTTCTTCAGGGAACAGCCTTTGACCATCAGCTTCACACGTGCTGACAGAGTCTTGGGCACAGCTGCCTGCAGGAAGACAGCAGGTAGTGGGGGGCTCTTGAGTGTCTGGGGGGGGGTTGTGGCCCCCATCCCCCCAGCCTACCTCCTTGTAGATGAGCTCAAATGCTCCAATGGAGCAGGTGGGGTTGTCCTTGCGGTCGAGCACGAGGCACAGCGTGTCCCGCTGGACATTGGCACAGAGCCTTCTGGTCACTGCTGAAGAGGGGCTCATGGTGGGGCAGGAGTTGATCTCCAGGAGCCAGGGCTGGCAGTCCTCCCCGACAACAAAGTCGGCCCCATAGAGCTCGAAGTTGCCCTTGCGGAAGCGCACCCGGTCCTGGGCACTGCGCAGAGCGTTCAGGATCGCCGCCTTCATGCCGGGCACCAGCACCTTGTGCCAAGCATCTGCCTGCCCCAGCTGCGCCAGGTATTCCTGGAACTGCTTGTTTGACCAGATCTTGTCGGGGGGCACACGGGGGTCCTGGTCTGGTGATGTCTCGTACCACTTCTGGACAGAGACGTTGCAGAGGTGCCTGGCACTGGGGCAGGGAGAGTGGGGCTGGGTCAGGGGCTGCCAGGGTGCTGGGGTGTGGGGAGCCAGGGTAGGCACACTCACCGCTCCAGGTGATGCAGGGAGAAGGGCCGGGAGCAGAAGCGCAGGTAGCAGTCTTGGTAGAACCAGACGGTCAGTGGCTTCCAGTCAGTCACAACAAACCATTGCCGGATGTCGAATTTGGTGCCGAAAATGGTCAGCAGCCGCTCCACGTACTTCTGCACCACCCATCTGCCCACCTGCACCGAGGGTGCTGTGCAGCTCCATGCCAGCTGCAGCATCTCCTCCAGCCGCGTCATGCAGATGATGCCTGGGAAACACAGTCATAGTGGGACCCCTCCTAAATGGGGAGCTTCTGTGTGCTCCCCACTTCCCCCAGCCTTACCCCTGCCTTGGGATTCAGCACCAGGCTTGAGGATCCACACGTTGAGCTTGCCCTCCATGTCAAGCTGGGGCAACTTCTCTGCCAGGCTGTGCAGCAGGTTCTGGCACTCCTTCCGCTGCTGCCTGGTCAGCACCAGCCCTGCCCCCTCACTGTGGGGGGAAGGGGGCCTCAGCAGCAGCCCTGCCGTGGTGCCCCCCGTCCCCCCATCATACTCAGCACTCACTGTGCCACGTGGTAGTATTGCTGCAGGAAGTGGTCCCAATCAATGCATGTCCTGCAGGGGGATGGGGTGTTCCTGTCGATGTCCTCATGGTGCAGAACACCCAGGTGCTGCTTACAGACCTCCAGGGCTTCCTCCACCAGCTCAGGGTACAGGGGGGAGCCTGACCGTGCTGTGGAATGCTTGGGGTGAGAGATGTGACTCCTATGGCAGCTTTGGGGCCAGTGCTTCCCTGTGGCATGGGTGGCTTTGGGTGCCTGGGGATGAGGTTGGGAGCAGAGCACCGATAAGCTGGGCTAGGAGGAGCGTGGGGGGGATCCCAGGCCACAGCCATGGGCAGAGGCTGTGCCTCCAAGCTCAGCCGTCAGTTGTCCCTATCACTGTACTCTCTGCCATCATCCCCAGGCCCAGCTCCATGTACTCACCTTCCCCCCTGGCAGAGTTTGGGACCTGCTCAGTCCTCACTGGCCTGTCCCCAGCCTCCTCCAGGGCCAGTTTGAGCAGGCTGCGTGCTGCTGTCAGGCGGAAGTCCTCTGCAAGAGGGAGGCATCATCCCCAGCCAGTCCTACACAGGACAGTGGAGCAGTGGGAGCACAAGGAGGGACAGGAGGGCAACATCCTTCAGCTCACCAATGAAAGCTTCTCGATCATCTGTGGTCGCCAGCCGGTAGCACCGGGGGAAGAAGGTGTTGGGGTCAGCTTGCTCAATCCACGGCAGGTTTTGTAGGCTGAGGCACAGCCCCTCCTGTTCAGAGGAAGTTGTCAGTCCCTACTGGACCCCATTCCCCTCCCCCAGGGCTCCAGCCTCCCACCTTGGTGGTGAACGCGTCCACCTGGGCATAGTGGTTCAGCATGATATCCTCCTGCAGCAGCTGACGGTCAGTGGCCTCGAGGAAGTTGGTCCAGACGAAGTTTGGCAGCTGGTCCCGTGCCAGGTAGGACTGGCAGAGGGAGGAAGCCAGGGTGGGACACAGAGCCCCCACCCCACCCTCGTCCCCTGTCCAAGGCTGTGCCCATGCCTGGGGCAGTGGCAGAGCTCAGCCCCAGCCCCCTCTGCTAACCATGAGGTCATGGATGCCGTTGGGGTCCTCATCACACTGCTCTTCCTCCTTCTCAGCAGGTAGCCATGGGTAGTGCAGGGGGTCTGGGGTCCCCAGAAAAGGCTGTGCCCCCCCACGTGGGTGCAGCAGCACCTCCCTCTGCCTACCACGGCCATCACCTGGCCCTGTCTGCAGCCGCTGCTTGTTCTGGTCACTGCAGTGCTGCTCCAGCTGCCTGCCCGAGCGGGGCACCTTCCTCTCCACCCAGCCCCGGGCTCGCAGCAGGTGGCGGATGATGGGGTAGGGGCCCTGTACCATGAAGATCTTCTTCTCCTGTGCAGAGACCAGTGGGCTCAGCCTGCCCCAGTCCTGGTTCTTCTGGCTCAACTCTCCTGAGCCAGAAATGCAATAAATGCAAGCAGGTGGCATTGGAGGAGTGTGAAATCAAGTCCCTCACCTTAATGGCCATCTCCACATACAGCTTGGCCTTCTTGAGCTGCTCAAGGTTAAGCAAGCGCTGGCAGCCAACCTGGTGGCTGGTGGTGGTGGCTGCTGAATGCCCTGTGAGGACAGCCCTGTCTGAGCCCACTGTCCCCACGTCCCCAGTCCCACAGGGCAGGCACGGAGAGGTAGAAAGCACTGACCTGCCTGCCTCTGACCTGACCTTCGGGCCCTTGAGAGGGTAGTCTCCGACCTGCTGAGCCTTGTGCCAGTGTCCCAGCTGCACCGCACAGTCCCAGGATGCCCCACTGTACCCCTGTCCCCAGCCTCCTGGGCCGTGGGGTGGCTGAAGTGTACCCTGCTCAAGTGCTGTCCCTGTCTGAGGGGCTGTGTGCCTGCAGTGCTGCTCTCTGGGTCACATTGTCCCATGGCAGCCTGAGGAGAGCTGTGGGTGGCTCTTCCTCCTCTGTGCCAAGCAGGTTGGCCTATTCCCCTGTCCTGCAGGGGACTTAAGTTGGAGTCCAGCAGAGGACATGGCCTCTAAACCCCAGTACCACTCATGTCAGAATGCAGGATGTGGCTCCCCCAACCCCAGCACCACTGTGATGTCACGGCCCCAGCTCCAGCCATGATGGCTCCACTGCACAGAAGGGAACACAAACAGCCCCTATGTGCACAGCCAGCCTCCCCCCACCCAAACCTCACACCCTGCCCGAAATCCTTTTGTGCCCCAGAACCCAAGCCCCTTGCTGCCCCCAGGCCGACTTCAAGTCCTTTCATACTCCCCTGACACCCCCCATGGCCCCTCACATGCCATCAGGGCTGACCCCACTGTTTGCTGCTGCACTGTGCCCCTCCAGTTCCATCCCATGCCCTCCCCCATTCCCTGGTGTGGCCCAGAGCGGCGGGAGGGAGGAGACGGAGGCGGATACAGCAAACAAGACCGTTTAAAAAACAAGACGAGACAGGGGCAGCGGCTGGGGCCGCGCTGCCGCAAGCAGGGGCTGCTCCCGCCCAGCCCGGAGAGGGGCGGGCAGGGCCCGGCCCCGCCCCGCGGTCCTCGAGAAACGGGAGCAGGCACAGGCACAGTGCCCGGTGGGCACAAGCACAGGGGAGCCACGGGGTCCTGCACCACGGCCTAAAACTGGAGAGAAAACACACGGCTGTTAGTCCCTGCTAGCAGCGCCCGAGATCCCTCACCACCCTCCTGGCACCTGGATGGAGGCTGAGCGTGGCCACTGCTCACAGGGATCCGTGCTCAGCTTCTCCCGCTGCCTCCCCAGGCACGGACATCCATCTCAGCACCCACCAAAAGGGTCTCATCCCCTAGGGCTGCTGCTGCCACTGAGCAAGCTCTGGGGGTCTCAAAAGCTGGCTCTTCATGAGCAAAGGGGATACGAGCACCATTGGCATCCTTTCCTCACTGTCCCCAAGAGGTTCCTTGGGCAGGATGTCACCCTGTCCGCACTAATGGGACAGGGTGACTCTAGGCACAACGGCCACACTGGCTTTGACCCCACTCCACTCCCAAAATCAGACATCCTTCCTCCCATTTCTCACGTTCTTCAGGAACTCCTCTGCCACGATGCGGGCCCTCGCATTGACAGAGAGTTTCATCTCACTGATTTCCTTGTCAATCTCCTCCATGAAGTGGATGACAAAGTCCACCAGCTTGTGCTTGTACATCTGCTCCGTGTGGAAGTTTGTGATCAAGAAGCTGATATCATAACCCTGCACAAGAGAGAAGCACCCTAGGGTTTAGCACCCAAACTGCTGGCCTTGCAAGCTCACATCCCAGTCTGCACTGGACACCCCCCAGGGCCAGGAGCAGAGCCAGAAGTCGCTTTGTCCCCTCCCTGTCACCTCACCTCCACGGGCTTCCTGCGCAGAATAAAGAAGTTCTCAGCCCTCATCATCATAAAGCGCATGAATTTGTGACACAGGATCTTCTCGATCTCATCAGCCTGGAGAGAGAAAAGGGAAGTGAGGCTTCCCCACAGGCTGAGCTGCCAGCCCCCTGCCCAAACGCCCCTGACCTGCTTCACGGCGATGCTGACGCGCACGGAGTTAATGGAGCCCTCGATGAGGACCTTCTCCTTCTCGTTCCTGCTGATGATCACCGGCTGCAACAGCAGCTCTTTGCTGCTCCTGCAAACAGAGGGAGGGCAGGAGTGACTCAGAAGGAAGCATTTACTGTGGGAAGCAGGGAAGGGGAGCCGCAGGGATCACAGGCATGTGGGGGCTTTGCTACAGGATCTCATCTCTCTCCGCGTCCCGAAGATGTTCCTCCTGAGGGCAGACGCTCCCTCGGTCCCAAGCCAGATCCCCTTCCTCCTCCCCGCAGCTCCCCGGCTCCCTGCCGGCGCCGGCCGTGCGCCTAAGGGCTGGCGGTGGCCAAGGCACGGCAGGAACGGGCCAGCGGCCCCCAGGGCGGGCAACCAGGGCTCGGCAGGGCTCTCTGCGTGTTCCCTCCCGCCGCCGTACCTGACTTCCACCTCGGGCTTGTTGTGCCGCTCCACCACCTGCGAGGAGAAGTTCTCCAGGCACAGCGCGGCCTGCAGCGTGGCGCGCACCGCGTTCAGGTACGGGCGCAGCGTGGCAGTCTGCGGGGACACGGCGGCAGCGTCAGACCCCCGACCGGAGCCCGGCAGTCGGGTCTCGCCCCCTTCCCCTGCCCCAGCCCCCGACCAGAGCCCGCAGCCCCCGCAGCTCCGCTCACTCCGCCGACCCCGGTTCCGAGCCTCCCCAGCCTCCCCGCTGCCACCGCCCCTCACGGGGCGCCCCCCGCCCTACCATGGTGGCAGCGGCGCTCCGGTCCGGCCAGGCGGAAGTGGCTGTTCACCTCTTCCGGGATGCTCGGCACCTCCCACTGCGGCGGGAGGGAGGGGGGGCGGCGGGAGGCTCCCGCCCTGCGGCCTGGCCCCCCCGCGGCACGGAGCCGGGTGGCGGCGGCGAGACTTCGCGCGGCTCCCCCCCGCGCCGTACCGCGCTTGGTACGGGCCTGTCAGCGCTTCCATATTAGGGAAGGGAGATGGAGGGCGGGCTGGGCCAATGAGCGGCGGCGCGGGGCGCGGAGAGGCCAATGGGCGGCGAGGGGCGGGGCGCCCGCGGGGCCGGAAGGGGCGCCCGGCCCAGACCCGGCCCCGCGGCCTCCGCTGCGCCCCGGGGCCGCCCCCGCGTCGTCCCCGCAGCCCCCGGTGATCTCCCTCCGGTTCCCCTCGGTGATCCCCCCCACCGGGCTCCTCGGTGATTCCCCCCCCGCCTTGTTCCCTCAGCGCCCTGGTGATTCTCCCCACGTTCCTCTCAGCGCCCCGTGATCCCCTACCCCGGCTTCTGCAGAGCCCCGATGCCCCCCGACCCTCCGTAGCCCCTCACTCCGCTCCATCCCCTCCCGGCTTCCCCCGTGTTCCCCTCGGTCCCCCAGAGCCCACTCGGTGCCCGCTCCCCACCGCCATGAGCGAGCTGAAGGACTGCCCGCTGCAGTTCCATGACTTCAAGTCGGTGGACCACGTGAAAGTGTGCCCCCGCTACACGGCCGTGCTGGCCCGCTCGGAGGACGATGGCATCGGCATCGAGGAGCTGGACACACTGCAGCTGGAGCTGGAGACGCTGCTGTCCTCTGCCAGCCGCCGCCTCCGCGTCCTGGAGGCTGAAACACAGGTGCTGGGGCCGCGTTGGGTCAGGGACAGGCTCTCCCTCTGGCTCCTTGCACCAAGGGGCTGCCTCTGGTCTGGCACAGGATCTTACGGGACACCGCTCTCTTCCAGATCCTGACGGACTGGCAGGATAAGAAGGGCGACCGGCGGTTCCTGAAGCTCAGCAAGGACCACGATGTGGGCACATCTGTAAAACATGGGAAGCCCAAGAAGCAGAAGCTGGAGGGCAAAGGGGGCCATGGGACTGGGCCTGGGCCTGGCCGGCCCAAGTCTAAGAACCTGCAGCCCAAGATCCAGGAATATGAGTTCCAGGATGATCCCATTGATGTGCCTCGCATCCCCAAAAATGATGCTCCAAACAGGTGTGTGGGTGTTGGGAAGCATGGAGCACATGGCACAAGGGCTGCCTCTAGCCCGAGAGAAGAGGGGCCACGGGGGAAAGGGGACATGTGTCACCTTCCACGTGCTCCCCTGCAGCTCCCTCTCACAGTTCACCCATTCTTGCAGGTTCTGGGCATCGGTGGAGCCGTACTGTGCCGATCTCACCAACGAGGAGGTCAGAGTCCTGGAGGAGCTGCTCAAGCCGCCAGAGGACGAGGCTGAGCATTACAAGGTGAAAAGCTCCTCAGCCCTTTCCTCTGCCCTCTCTCCCCATCCCCTCTGGCACCTCACAGTGACTGTTCCTGCTTGGGATGCTGCCGTGGCAGTGGTGAGGTGGGAGGCAAGGCAGAGGCTCCAGGAGCTGTGCTGAGCTGTGCTCTTCCAGATTCCACCGCTGGGGAAGCATTACTCCCAGCGCTGGGCACAAGAGGACCTGCTGGAGGAGCAGAAGGATGGAGCCCGGGCAGCAGCTGCTGCTGACAAGAAGAAAGGTGTCCTGGGGCCGCTGACTGAGCTGGACACTAAAGGTGCCCCAATCCCACCCCCGCCTTTGCCCAGAGGTGCTGGGAGTGCTTGTGCCCAGTGGAGCCCAGCCCAAGAAGGGCTGAGGTTGCCGTGCCCCACTGCTCATCTCTGTGTCTTTGGGCTTGCTTTTTTTCCTCTTCTGCTTCCTCCCAGATGTCGATGCTCTCCTGAAGAAGTCAGAAGCCCAGCACGAGCAGCCAGAGGATGGGTGTCCCTTTGGTCCCCTGACACAGCGTCTCCTGCAGGCCCTTGTGGAGGTGAGGGGGGCACGATGCCATGGTGGCCTGGCGCTGTAGGGCATTGCTGCCAAAACCCTGCACTGCAACCCTTCCCTCTTGGTCCCTTCGCCAGGAGAACATCATCTCCCCTGTTGAGGACTCCCCCATCCCTGAGATCACCGGCAAGGACTCGGGAGCTGACGGTGCTGGCACATCTCCCCGCAGCCAGAACAAGCCCTTCAGGTGAGCAGCTGAGGCGGGCCCAGAGCTCAGCACTGCCCGTGGGTGCACCGAGCACGCTGCTGGCTCCCTGCCGCTGTGAGCCACAGGCAGCAAAGGGCGTGTGGTGGGCAGCAGCCACTCTCCACCCTGGCAGTGTCCCCCACACCAAGTCACTGGAGGGGCGGATCAAGGAGGAGCTGGTGGCCCAGGGCCTGCTGGAGTCAGAGGACCGCCCGGCTGAGGACTCGGAGGACGAGGTGCTGGCTGAGTTACGCAAGAGGCAGGCAGAGCTGAAGGCGCTCAGTGCGCACAACCGCACCAAGAAGCACGAGCTGCTGCGGTGAGAGCGAGCGGGCTGGGATGGGTGCGGGCAGGGGGCTGCCTGGCAGGGCCTGACGCCCCCCTGTGCCCCCCAGGCTGGCCAAGGAGGAGCTGCACCGGCAGGAGCTGCGGCAGCGTGTGCGCATGGCTGACAACGAGGTGATGGATGCATTCCGCAAGATCATGGCTGCCCGGCAGAAGAAGCGCACGCCCACCAAGAAGGAGAAGGACCAGGCCTGGAAGACCCTGAAGGAGCGGGAGAGCATCCTCAAGCTGCTGGATGGGTAGCAGGGACCAAGGACCCCCCCAGTCTGTGTGGACCTCACCCGCAGGGGGCTGCCTTGCCTGAGCCCTGCCACCACGGGATGGGACTGGCACAGCCTCCCCCATGCCCTGAGTCTGCTCAGCCTCCCTACTCGGACGGAGGAGCCCAGCTGCTGTCCCCTCCCTGTGTAGGGCTGTCACTGACCCAAGCTGGGCACCCCTGGAGTTGCGGAGGTCCCTCCCTTGAACACCCCCACTTCAGCTGGTGGCTTCCACTCCCGTGTTCCTGCTGCACTCCCCTGTTACTCGGGTGACATCAGCCAGGTCACTGCAGGGGCCAGACGTGGCGGCTGTGATTCCTGCGGTCCCCTGTCCCTCTCTGTGATGCGGGGCAGGGGGAGATCCCAGCCCCGCGGGTGGACTGGGGGGAGTGGGGAGGGGAAGCGGCTGGACGGGTGAGGGGCCTGGTGGGTGGGTGGTCGAGCTCTCCGTGTACCGGTGGTTTCTATTGCCGCGAGCACCGGCAATAAAGGCAGCCGTGTGCAGGTGATGGTGTGCAGGTGATGGCGTGCGGGTGACACTGGGGGACAGCCCTGCCCGGCTATGGGGGTGGGTCCTGCTGGTGCTGGGTTTGGTCTGGAGAGGGGGGCGAGGAGTGGCGGGGCCGGGTCTGTCCTGCAGCTCCACTCGTGTCTACCCAAGGAATGCCCTCGCATCCCCACAACAGATGCACGGGGTGGGGGGAGTGTGTGGGTGATGCCGCGCCGCGCTTCTCGCCCTCCCCGCGCTTTTCCCGCGTGTCCCCGCGCTTTTCCCGCGGTCACGCGTGTCCCCCTCCTTCCCACCGCGGCCGAGCCACCCCCTCCCATTGGCAGCGGCCGCGCGCGTGCCCGCCCCTCACCGTGACGTCAGCGCTGTCCGGCGGCGCCGCGCCGGGAGGAGTCGCCGCTGCTCCGCCGCGGGGCCCGGGCCCGGGGCCGTCGGTAAGGGCGGGCCGGGGCGGGGGCGGCGTGCCCACGCGAGGAGGTCGTGCCCACGCGTGGCACCGAGTAGCGGCGGTGGAGCTGCGCATCACCCACCCGCGCCACGCAGCTCTGCTCCCACGCGTGTCCCGTCCGGCGCGGCTGTGCCAGCTGGTGGGCGTGGGGAATGGCGGTGGGGACCCCCCGGGCACCCACGCGTGTGTCTGGAGCGCTCCTGCTGCCTGCCCGCCCCGCACCCGCCCCAGGGGCGGGCATCGGGAGGGTCCCAGCGTGTTTCCCCACTGGGGCAACCTACGCCAAAACTCCTGCGTCGACACAGCTTGTTCCCATCACCCCAGGATGACAGCCACCTCCCCGTAGCACCCTGTCATCCCCGTGTCCCCATGCCGTCCCAGCACGCTGACAGCCTCTCCCCACTCGTGTCATAGGTGGGAGTGGGTGGCCCTACAGGGCACCATGCCGCTGGGGCAGGATGGACCCAGCTGGAAGAAGAGGATCGAGGATATTCAGCGGATATATGATTTCCGAGATGTCCTGGGCACGTGAGTTGCAGACTGGGGTGACACGCCAGTGACAGCCCACTTGTGGTGATGGGTCTGGCCCCTCAGGCTTTGCCCGACCTTCCATGTGGAACCAGCCAAATCCTGGCCTTGCATATGAGGGGACATGCTGTGGGGCACATGTGCCACCTCCCTCTGGCATGGCTGGTTCCTGGGCTGTGCTGAGGGTACCTGAGCATGGTTCCCTGGCTGGCACAGGGGTTCCTGGCAGTGCCCATGGCATGGTAAGGCTCTTAGGCTGGATTAGCAGGTTAATTATGTCAGGGCTTAGGGCCCAGCACAGCACGAACACACAGCCTGTCCCTCCTGTCTCTTCCCCACCTGGGCACTGCCAACAGCTCTGGCTGGCTGCTGGGTGGCCCTGGCTGCCACAGGATGGCACAGCAGAGGGCTACTGCAACCCACATGGGGGCTCAGCCCCAGCACAGCTCGACCTCGGCAACACCTGATATGGGGATGGTGCAGCCACGCTGGGAGGGCGGAGGGTTCCGGGCATCCTATCGCTGGCAGGGTCCGTGTCCAGCCATCCCAGCCAGCCGCTCCTGCTTGCCTTTCTCCTATAAATAGCTGGACTTTCTGCCTGTCGCCATGACAATCATGGCATGGCGGCATCGGCAGCTCCGGCTGGCGGCTCCCGTGCCCTGCTCATCCCTCTCCCCCCCAGGGGGGCCTTCTCCGAGGTGGTCCTGGCGGAGGAGAAGGCGACGCGGAAGCTCGTGGCTATCAAGTGCATTGCCAAGAAGGCACTGGAGGGAAAGGAGACCAGCATTGAGAACGAGATTGCCGTCCTCCACAAGTAGGGGCCGTCCCAGCACCAGGGTGGGGGTTTCACTCTGCGCCCCCCCACCCAGCAGAGCCCCCCATGCCAGCACTCGTTGCCGCACGTTATTGCCAGCGCCCAAAATAGCCAGCGGCGCGTGACGACCTGCGGCACGGAGCCTGGCTGCTCCCTGTCCCCTGGGGGCTGGCGTGGGGGCAGCCCGGTGCCCTCTCACCACCCCCTGTGCCTCCCCCTGCAGAATCAAGCACCCCAATATCGTGGCCTTGGATGACATCTACGAGAGTGGCACCCACCTCTACCTCATCATGCAGCTGTGAGTGACGCTGGGGGGCTCCAGAGGGGCGGGGGGGCCGTGCTGACGGGTGCTGCCCATCCCTGCAGGGTCTCGGGGGGGGAACTCTTTGACCGCATTGTGGAGAAGGGCTTCTACACTGAGCGGGACGCCAGCGCCCTGATCCGGCAGATCCTCGACGCCGTCAAATACCTGCATGACATGGGCATCGTCCACCGTGACCTGAAGGTGAGCAGTTTGGGGGGACACACACAGCACTGTCATGGCACTAGGCAGCAGGAGACACTCCTCCCTCTACCCACCTCTCCTCGCAGCCCGAGAACCTGCTCTATTACAGCATGGATGAGGACTCCAAAATCATGATCAGCGACTTTGGGCTGTCGAAGATCGAGGGCTGTGGCAGTGTAATGTCCACAGCCTGTGGCACCCCTGGCTATGTGGGTGAGTGCCTACCATGGGCTGCCACCGCCCTAGGTGTGGGGTTGGGATCCCCCCACAGGCTTGGGTCCCCCTCACCGCTGCCATACCCCCCAGCCCCTGAGGTGCTAGCACAGAAGCCCTACAGCAAGGCAGTGGATTGCTGGTCCATCGGAGTCATCGCCTACATCCTGTATGTATCCACCCTCCCACTCTCTTCCCCTCCTGGGCACCTAGGAGCTGCCTGGGACCAGCAGCCCTCTCCTCACTACCCCGCTAGGCTCTGTGGTTACCCTCCTTTCTATGATGAGAACGATGCCAAGCTCTTCGAGCAGATCCTGCAGGCCGAATATGAGTTCGACTCACCCTACTGGGATGATATCTCGGACTCAGGTGAGCTGGGACCACTAGGGCAGCGGGGCCTGTGAGCCTGGTGTAGCTTCACAGTACCCAGAGGCACTCAGAGCTGCTCCATGCTCTGCTCCAGCCAAGGACTTTATCCAGCACCTGATGGAGAAGGACCCTGGCAAGCGATTCACCTGTGAGCAAGCCCTGCAGCATCCCTGGTAATGGGGACGCCTATTGGTGTCTGCCCCCCTCTCCAGCTCACCCCACAGCAGCCATGGGATAGGGGTGCCCTGGCTGACTTCTGTCTTGCTCCAGGATTGCCGGGGACACAGCCCTGGACAAGAACATCCACCAGTCAGTGAGTGAGCAGATCAAGAAGAATTTTGCAAAGAGCAAATGGAAGGTGAGTGTGGGGTGCTGGTGGGTGTTAGGGGGTGCAGCAGCCCCTCAGGCACCCCCTACCAGCTGACAGACACTGTGGGGTCAGTAGCAAGCTTTCAACGCCACGGCGGTGGTGAGACACATGAGAAAGCTGCAGCTGGGAACCAGCCAGGACATCCCTGGGCAGACAACTCCCACGAGCCCCGGTGAACAGTTGGTCGGGGGGACCAGCAATGGTGAGTCCCAAACCCCCTATCCCCCTCCCAGACCCCTCAGGGCTGCCACCAGGATCTCACACTGATCCTCCCTGCAGGGTCGGAGTGTGGGCGCCCACCCACAAGCAGAGCTCAGCGTCTCCCACCAGACTGAGCACAGCCCCACACAGCTGCCTCCAAGGGGGCCCAGCCATGTGGGGTGGGGGGGCTCTGCAGTGCAGGAGCAGGGGATAGTGTGGAGGCACCCTGCTTGGCTTGTCCTGGTTATGTGGAGCTGCCCCCCCTGCAGCCTCACAGCAGAGTTCTGCATCGGGGCAGGAGCACACCACAGAGCCCCCCAGCTTGGGGCCTTGTCCCAGGCCCCTTCCCACACCCCTTCCCTCCCTCCACGCCTGGCCTGGCACTGTCCCACACCCCCAAGCCCAGCATGTTCAAGGACAATTTTCCAAATGGATGTTTCTATTTTATTGCTTGTAATAAAGGCAAGAGGCCAAAGGTGCTTGGCTCAGCTCTGCACTGAGGGAGTTGGACACAGCCCTGACCTCCCCAGCTTCACTGCCCAGGGCAGCAGCTTCCCCCATGCACACAGTGGGCAGGCAGCAGCCCACACTCCTCCGTCCCAGGCTGGCAGCAGGTGCAGTGTCCCACTCAAGTCTCTGTTCCTCCTGGGGTGTCCCTAGAGGAGCCCACCCCCAAAGCTGTCCCAGCCTCGGCTCTCTCAGGCCTGATGCTGGCTGCCGGCTGGCTTCTGGCCCTTGCGGAGGTCGGCACAGAACAGGACCTGGAGTAGGGAGATAATGGGGTGGGCATGGCTTGGGTTGGGGGGCAAGAGTGCCAGGAAGGGGGGATACTCACTGCCTGTGCCCAGCCGGCACGAGGGCCCCACAGCCCCCGGAAGAAGTCGCCTGCGGAAAGAGGGTGAACACCAGTGTGGGGGTACACTTGCACCATCCACCATCCCTGAGGGTCCCACATCAGGATGCAGCCCTGCCCTCACCGATCTCCTGGTAGGCCCGGGGGGTGAGGCTCTTGCCGCCCAGCGCCACGCCATAGCGCTGCTGTGCGATGTGCCAGACGTGGGTGTCCACAGGCACCGCCTCCGCCTTGTCCAGGGACAACAGGCAGACACAGTCGGCCACCTGCCACCAGCAGCACCCAGTCAGCCCCCAATGCTGGTCTCTGCTCCCTGTCCCACCCCTGTCCTGGCACCCACCTTGGCACCTACGCCAGGCAGGGCACACAGCACCCTCCTGGCCTCGGCATAGGGCGCGGTGCGGAGCTGGCACAGCCCCTCGGGGCCGAGCCCCTCAGCGATGGCCCGTGCACTCCCACTGACAAACTTGGCCCGGTACCCAAAGCCCAGCGCCCGCAGCCGGGCCTCGGCATCAGCACCTGGGGGGCACAGCAGAGGGACGTGAGTGGGCGCAGGCGCGGCCATGGCAAGATGACAGCGGCAGCAGCGAGGTGTTGGGGGACCTGTGAGCGCCGAGAGGGATGGGAAGGCATGGAAGGGCCGGGAATCGAGGCAGCAGAGGTGGCGGCCGAAGGCCTGGCAGAGGCGCTCGATCATGGCAGTGATGCGGGAAATGTGGTTGTTGGAGGTGCAGATGAAGGAGAAGAGGCACTCGACGGGGTCCTGCCGCAGCACTCGCACCCCTGCAGGCAGGACGCTGTGAGGGGATGCCGAGCAGGTGCTGTGGCCATCCCCTGTAGCTCCGTGGGGCCTCCTCACCTGGGAAGTCATTGGCCACCTTGCGGAACAGGGGGTCGGCCGCCCCCCAGGCATGGTACAGGGCCGACAGCCCCACGTCCAGCTGGAAGTAGTCACGCAGGATCCGGTCCGTCTCTGCCGCGTTCAGCTTCGCTGCTTTAGCCGGGCACTCATCCCCCTCCTCCTCCTCCTCGCCGTACACCGTGTACCAGAGCCGATCCCCGTCCTGCCGTAGTGTCCAGACGCGGCCCCCTAGCACACCCGTCCACGCCCCCGGGCTGCTCTCCCACCACCTGCCGCACACGGGGGGGTCGGGGCCGGCTCGGACGCGCCCAGCTGGGCCGGGGGACACCCGAGACCCCCGGCTGGCTCACCGGAAGCTCTGTCCCGAGGAGAGCACCAGGTCCAGGCGCAGCTCGGCCGGCGGGCACGGCAACCAGCGCCACAGGGACGGGCAGACGGAAGGGGCGTCCCGCAGCTTCATGGGGGCCGGGGAGCACCCGCGCACCGCTGCCCGCGGGGGATCAGGGCACCGCCCGGCGCTGCCCCTCCAGCTGCCCCACAGCCCCGGCCCGGCCCCACACCTCCCCAGAGCTCCCCAGCCCGTGCCCCCGGCCCCGCAGCTCCGGGCCCGGCCCCGCCACTCCCCACCATAGAGAAACCCGCGCCCGCCGCTCCCCGCCCAGCTTCCGCTCGCGGCCGGAAGCGGGGCCGGTGCCGCCGCACATGCCCGCCCCGCTCCCGCCCGGCCCGTAGCGGCCGCGGCTCCGCAGTGGAGGTTTATTTTCTAAGAATCAATAGATTTTTTTTTCTTCCTTCAAAATAAATACAAACAACGTCCGAGCGCGGGGCCGGCCAGGGGCTGGGCCCAGGGGTGGGGGCAGCACGGGGGTGCGGGGCGCGGGGAGCCGCCCTGGGGCACGGCGGCGGCCAGAACAGCATCCCGGGGAGCGCTGGGCTGGGGGAGCGGGCACCGGGAATGGGAGAGTGAGGGGGGCACGGGGGACCGGCCCCACCCCTCCCGGTGCCCCGGCCCCCCGTGGGTGCAGGCCAGCTGCACGGGGTGGGGGTCACCGAGCCCCGTTTGCCCTGAGATTCGGCGGGGGAGCGGCCGGCGGCACCGGCTCAGTCGCTCTCGCTGGAGTCGCTGCTCTGCTCGCCCTGCACCTTGTTGCGGTGCTGCATGGCGCGGTGGTAGGCGATCTGCACCGACTTGCGGATGTTGGACTTGCGGCCCTCCAGCATCTTCTCTTTGTCCAGGTCCTGGTTCACCCCCAGAGGCACCAGCTTCGTCCGGGGCAACCACTGCCTGTGGAGAGCGGGGGGCCACCTCGTTTGAGGGTTACAATCGTCTCTGGGGACCCCCCCACCAAAGCCCTCGGCGCCCAGGCCTTACCAAGTGCGCTTGTTGTCGAAGAAGAGGACAAGGTAGAGGTGCTCGCGTGCTTCCTGAGTCATCTGCTCCCCCAGCTTCAGCACCTCCAAGGGGGGCACGGGGATGGGAACCCCATGGTGGAACATGCCTTCCCGCGGCATCTTGGGGTCAATGATCTGCAAAACGAGCAGGGGAGGGCTGAGAGCAGAACAGGGACCCCAAGAGCCAGTCTGCAGGGAGGGGACATGGATTTCAGAGGCCCCGATAACAGGCAGTACTCACCAACGCCGGGTAGGAGGGGTAACCGCGGCACTTAGCCCACACCAGGTCCAGGGCATCCAGGGAAGAATCCTCATCCTCAGACAGCCACCCTGCGCCACGCCCCATGCCCTTACGCACCACTGCACAGGAGGAGAGGGCAGTCAGCTGTGTCCCCCTGGGTGATGGTGCCAGCCAGGCACACAGCTGTGCAGCCACAGTACTTACTGCCGTGCCCCACACCTCGTCCCGTGCCCACGGAGTAGGACTCGTTCTCTGTCCCTGATGTGTCCTCACTGCTGTCCTCTGGGAAGTTCACTCGGGAGAAGGAGGGTTTCCCTCTGCCCTGCTTGGAGGGTGTAGTGCTGTGGAGACAGGGAGCAGACGTAGCAGTAGGAGTCACATTAAGCTTCCAGAAACTGTCTTCCAGAGGGCCAGGCTGGTGGGACACCAGGGCTTGTGGCCTCCAACTGCCGGCCTTGGCACCAGGAAGGACTTGGCAGGGGTACCAGGCAGAAAGGTGGGATGGTGCTTCTGCCAGGGTGCAAGCCAGACCCTCACCCAGTTCCACCTGGGAGGACCAGAAGATGTGCCCTCATCTGAATTAGAGGCGTAGGCAGGAAGCTGCTGGCACTAGCTGCTGGAAGGGCCAATGACAGAGCAGCTGCTGTGCCAACAGGGAATTCATGTTTCCTAGTTCATGCTCCCTACTGGCCCTTTGCCACACACTCGCACCTTTTAAGTTTTACATTAAAAAAGGCACAAACCCCACAGACTTCTAGGGATTAGCAGCTGTGCTACAGGATGAACGAGACAGAGACCACCAAACAGGGTGCTTGTCCAGAAACTCAAGGCTGAGAGCTGCCCACTGCCACCCTGGGCAGCATGGCTGTCAGCAGAGCTGGGCAGGGGCAGTACCTGGTGCGGTCTGAGGCAGCACTGCTGCTGCTGCTGCTGCTGGACTCCGAGTCGGAGCTGCTCCGGGGCAGATTGCAGTCGTTGCGGTACACCAGGAAGCTCTTCTTCACGGGCTGGTTCCCACTGCTGAAACCATTGGCTGGCAGGTCTGAAAAACACCCCAACAAAGAGCATTACCACTGCACCAGAGCCTGCCACGTGCCGCCAGTGGGACCACAGCTGCCCAGCTGCACTCACCCATGGTAGCGTCCTCCGTGGATTTGTCACTGTCACTGTCTGAGCTGGAGCTGGGGCGCGGGCTTCGCCCTCGCTTCCTCTGCCGCTGGGAGGACCCCATTATTGGGAGCTGGGGGGGCCCAATAGGGCTGCTCCCATGCCCAGGAGGGATCTGGCTGTCTCGATTCTTTGGGGGGCGTCCTGGACGTTTTGGAGGGCCTGCAGTTTTAGGGTTCTTCTTGGAGAAGAGCACAGAGGTCCTCCTGCCAACTTCATGTGCTGGGGTAGATGAAGAATTAGGACCCAGACCTGGAAGAGAGAGGTGTCAGCTGCAGCCCTGATGGCAGGGACTGCATGGCAGTGGTATCACAAAACAGCTTTGTTTCTGGGGAATATTATCTCAGAAGATCCTCCCTCACTGTAGGAAGAGCCTGCTTTTCCCAGTGATTAGGGGACAGGACTGAGATGCAGAGGTGGCAAATGCTCAGTGACATGGTATCTCTGCCTGGTGCTTTTGCTGTGCTCCCCATAGAGCCCAGCTCAGCCTCTCCATCCAGGGAGCTGGCAGCTGGCCTGTTCAACTCAGCCCTGGGAGAGCATTTGGAGCTCAGCAGTCACTGCTGCTGCAACTCCCTCCCATGCCTCCAGCAGGAAGGGACACTGAAGGCAGCCTGCTCCATAATGCCCCTAGAAACCAGGCAACATGGCCAAGCTGGTAGGTCCTATTAGAAGGAAACAATCCACCTCATGCTCCAGATCACACAGCTGGAACTGTCAGTCTCTGGAACAGCATCCAGCTCCTCGACTGACAAAGAGATGAATTCACCAGGTGACTGCTGACAGCAGCTGTGAACACCAGCAACCTGCCAACCCTCCCCAAGGGCAAACACACACCAGGCTGTGGCTGTTTCACACATAGGACGAGGCCCCCTTCATCCAATCCCCCCTGCTTGGCTGGCACAGCTCACTACAAACTATCCAGTGAGCATGCTGGGAGGGAGCCTGGGGAGGCACACACATCACACTTGGCACCAGCCCCTAAGGGAGGGACTACAGGAAACAAGGAGTCCCCACAGGGGAATGTGGGATAAGGGACTGTCCCACAAGAGGCCACCTGCCTTGTTGCCATGGAGGAGTGAAGAGCAAGGTGTGTGTGGGGAGCTGTCCACACAGTCCTCCTGCCTAAGGAGGCACCTGCCAGGGCAGTTTCTCTCCAGACAGGCAGCTCTCCATGGCTCCTCAGACTGGCAGTTCTGGAGGGAGTATTACCTTTGCCAGTCTCCTGGCTGCTGCTCTCCTCTGCAGCACTGTCTGTCTGCAGGTCCTTCTCACAGGGGTTGTGGGACTGCAGGACTCCCCTGGCAGAGGAGCTGTGCCGCTCCAGCCCCTCCCGGCCCAGGTCCCGCGGGTGAGCGAGCTTCCGCCGTAGGACTGTGATCTCCTTCTTGATCATCTTGGCCCGGCGGGACCGTCCTATGCTCTGCTTGCCAGCGTTGACCTCGTCCAGCCGCTCCAGCAGGATCTTTAGCTGCTCCTCCAACGGCAGGTGCTTCTGATTCTCTGAGAGCAGCAGCCGCACATCTTCTGGGGAAACAAAGAGGAGCAGATGGATGGAAGAAATCAGGAACTCAGTGGAGCTCCTCTACCTGAAAGGGCACGAGGCAATCCAGGTTCCCTGCAGGAGAGAAGGAGCTGGCATGGCCAAATACCTGTGGACCCTTCAGGGAAGTTATCCTAAAAGACCAAGAGAAGGAGCCCTTTGGGAACTCAGGCAGCTGGGACTACTGGGGAAAGCAGGCTGATCAGCAGTTTGGAGAATACTGGGGTTTGCATTGTTTGGAACAGGAAAGAAAGGACACACAGACAAACCACTGCCTAGAACCAACCTAATGGGGCTGCTAAGTACCTGGCTACCAAAACCTCCAGGTCTCCAGGGAGTGGGGACACACAGCCCAGCATTCAACTTAACCTCCCAGAGGAGGCAGCTCAGACTCTTGAGTGCCTTGACTCTGCCCAGGCTTTACCTTTTAGTTGCCCTCATACCCCAGGACAGGGACCGAGTACCCACCGTCCTCAATGTCTTGGATCTGAGCCTCTTCCACTGTTACACAGTGGGGGAAGTGCATGCCTGTCTCGAAGTCAATGCCCATCTTCTCTGCCTGCCGGCGAGCCTGCCGGAGCACGGCACCTCCCTGCTCCCGCAGACGGATGGCTGCCCGGTAGAAGATCGTGTCTTTGGCATTGTATTTCAAACAGTTGTTAATAATCAGGTTGAAATCCTCCTCAAAGTCATCGAAATTCAGATAGCGATAGGCTTCTAGATTTTGCTTCATTGTCTGAAAATCCATTGGCTTCTTGATGTGATCCAGGTAGTCTGGGACCTGCATAAGGAAAGAGCCAGAGTTAAGAGCCCAGGAGCCACAGTTAGCAGCACCTGCTCCAAGAAAACAGTTGTTAGAGGAATCAGGTATCACTCCCTGTGCTCTGCCCAAATGCACATCGGGGAATGCCGTCTGCTTTTGCAGCTTGAGGAACAGCAACGCCTCCGGACTAGGAAGCCCATGTGCTGTGCTCAACCTGTTAGAGCGGATATGCACTCCGAAGCATTTTTACAGCTCCAGCACACATGCCAGCATCCTGTCCTCAACTCCTGCCTGCAGGCAGCTGGGATTCAGTATGCTACATGTTATTCCCTGGAGAGAGTGCTGCAAGTGCAGCCCCAGGGGTGAAGGTGAGTGCAGA